GAAATTTTCCACGTGGAAGGGAATGAATTGAGCAGGTTGTCCACAGAAAAATTGGAAAGGTGTGGTCAACTCAGTAACTTAAGCCTGTGGTTTCTCTGCCAGACAGTTCCTGTTCACCATGAGAAACACAAAATAACTACTCACTGATGTGTCCTCACCTTGTGCAAGAGTTATCTGAACAAAGAGTAGGATGAGGATGGTTTTCTCTCAACATTCACCCAAAGCAGGTACATACAACAAACCTAGGTAGGATTCTCTATTATCGTTCAAACCAGTGCAGATCCACTGACTTTCACCATTTAATCCTGTTTTGGGTTTCTGGGTGCTGTATCGACACATTGGATCCTTTGCTCTTTTGTTCTGTGTAACACTCACTCTCCTCCAGGTTCCCAAAGGAACAAAAATCATGTAGATAAAGCAGATGCCTTTAGTGCCCCCCACAGCCCCACTCTCACCACGCAGACGTTTCTACTTCAAATCATAGAATGGTTTGGGCTGGAAGGGACCTTTAAAGGTCACCTATCCCAACCCCACTGCAGTGAGCAGGGACATCTTCAACTACATCAGGTTGCTAACCATCATTGGTGTCTCTCATTCCCCTAGTGGCAGCAAAAGATCTTCCCTCACGGTGTTAATTTCAGACTAAGTCAAGTTCATTCGCTGTGTCTCTACACTACACACCTGTACTTTTGAGGAATGCTAGTCATACAATTCCCAATCACACCCATTTTAGAAAAAAATGGTTTTCCCATGCGGCTTTCCACCTAGCCCGGCTGCATCTCTCAAATCCCGTCCCTAGATAGGAAGCTTCCACTACTTGCAGCTCATGTCCCCAGAGCTGTCTGCAACGCCAGTTGGTCCGTGTCCTTCCTGCCTTTATCAAGCCACCACAGCCGCTCCGGTCACTTTGACGTGACTGCCTGCCATTTGCTAGGGCTGCCCTTCCGTCGAGCGGCGTGTTGGACTGACTATGAAAAAAATCAAGGTCGCGTCTCACATGTTACCGTTTACCGTGAACAGGGCACTGACCCCCCTCAGGGCCACAGCGGCCAAGGCCCGGAGCGGCGGCAACGGCAGCCCGCCCTCGCACGGCCCACGCCGCCGCGCACACCACCAAGCAGCTAAAGGCCGAGCCCGCGGCC